TACACGGCTTCCTCCTCCTCCTCCTCCTCTACAGTCTAGAGGTCAGCAGATCTCTGTCACCATAGGTGTGCGACAGCCCAGCCAGGCCTCTGCCCTGTCACAAACACTCGCCCAGAGAGAGGAAGAGTCCGCCTCCACCCCTCCGTCTCCTTCCAGAGTCTGTGGCTGGCAGTGGGCAGCTAATAACCCCGTGACCCTTGACCCTAGCAGAGGTCGGAGACGTAGTCAAAGTCCTTGAAGTAGTCCTGTTCTTTGCGGGAGAGGGCGCGATGCTCGCGGGGCGGCGTGAGGGCAGGAGCCTCCGCTGTGAACTCCTGGTCGAAATTGCTGACGTCTTCTTTCCCTTTGATGCTGGGGACAAACGGGGGCAGGACTTTCCTCTGAAGAAGAGCCTCCCAGTCGATCCCCTGATGACATTTAGATTTAGTTCAGTAGGAAAATGAAGTTCCTCTGTCATTAACATCACAACCAGCTTCCTTGTTTCACAGGAATCATGAGAAAGGTTTGAGAAAGACGCCACTCACCCTGAAGAAAGGCTGTTTCTTCACATCTTCAGCGTCCTTTTCTCCAGAGCCCAGGCGTCTCTCAGGATTCCTCCTCAACAACTAGCAACAGGAAGCCACATGGTACCAGGATTCTCTGTGATAGCAGGCTCAAAAGTGCAGCTGTATACACAACCTCTCTGCAGCACAGCTAGTACAAACAGAGGGAACATAAAATGGAGGAGCAGAAAGGGAGTCTCACCCGCCTCATGATGGCGATGGCCTCAGTGGACAGGAAGCGAGGGTAGCGCACTTCATCGTTCACTATGCTGTCGAAAACCTCCTCCTCATCATCGCCAGGGAACGGAGACTGGACCAGACACACAGCACCTGGCACTGAGTTACGTATTTTAACTGGCCTTCAGATATGTTACGACTCATAATACTTTTGTACTGGAACACGTTTGGATTCAAGTCCTGTTCTGACTCCCTGGAGTCAAACTGTGACTCAGAGTGACACCAGACTGACTTTAAACCTTCAGCTTCTCAGTGTCAGACTCTGCAGAGACACAGCTGGAGCTCAGACGTCACAGAGAACAAACAAGACGCCAAACGGTTTTTTATTTTCTTTATTAGCAAACAGCCTGGGAATGAGGGAACTGTAGCCAGCTCTGCCCACAGGCCACACAATCCTCTACAACCCACTAATTAACAGACTGTCTCTCTGTTTAGAAAACAACACACTGTGACTTCACCCACAGGGTACGACCCTTTCCTGACCAGGGGCAGAAACATCCTGCAGTCTGACCGTCACTGTAATCCCCTGGTAAACCACAACCTGTTGTTTCTACACTTTGCAGTTTGTACGGACTATGCAAATAAGATATAACTGGTTAATTAGTGACGGGCAGAGCCTGGCTGTTCCCTTCTGTTTCCTGTCTTTGTGCTAGGCTAAGCTAACTGGCTGCTAACTCTCTTGATTTCATTCATGTCCAAATCCCAAACCTGAGGTTGTCCAACGTCTGTTCACAGCAGTTACACTCACACCTGAAGATGCATTTTAGCATCTCTGATAAAGATGACAGCTCCTCGTAGAAACGTACTGTGACTGTGTATTCTCACCTCTCCGACCAACATCTCGTAGATGAGCACCCCGAGCCCCCACCAGTCAACAGCTCTTGTGTACGACGTGTCTGTCAGAACCTCCGGGGCTAGAAACTCGGGGGTCCCACAGAACGTGCTGGTCCTGTCCCCGTAGCCCATGCCTGAAGCAGAGCACAGAAAGGACGAGGGCAGAAACGTCAACAGAGTCTAATCTGGTGTTGTACGGGGCCGATATAACAAACGACAGACACTCACCTTCCTTACAGAGCCCAAAGTCTGCTATCTTCACAAAGCCCTCTGTGTCGAGCAGCAGGTTGTCCAACTTCAGATCTCTGTCAAAGAAAGGTGGTGGATTCACACCAAATACTCCATGTTGTAAAAAGCAAGCGAGCCGTGTGTTCCATGTGTGGAGGGAAACCAAATACTCACCGATACACGATCTTATGGTCGTGCAGGAACTGCAGGCCTAGGACCACACAGGCGGAGTAGAACCTGTTGAACAAACGACAGACAAAGGCACAGAGACATAAACAAACTGCTGCAAACTCATACTTACCACAATACTGGGTTCAAGAACACATGGCACAGACACAGAGGGCATGGAGTCGCCAAGAAGGCAGGCGTGCACGCACACACACACACACACACGGATGGTCCTGACAGCCTGGACCTGTAGCAGTGCAACAACCAGTTCACCTGCAGCAGATGCTCGGTGCAACGTGCAGCAGAATGTCAGACTTATGTAGATGACTGAATGATACAGGAGAATGGACCTTATTGTGACGTGTGCAGTGGCAGTGAGGAGCAGAGTGAGGAGCAGAGTGAGGAGCAGAGTGAGGTTAATGGATCTGAGGTGAAGCCCTACCAGCCTTCAGCGCAGCACAGTGTGTGTTGTTACTGCGCTGAGAGAAATAAAAACAGCTCATCGTTTTAAACTTCAATAGGATCAGGGATTTGAATCTGGGTCAACTGCTGTCAGAACACGTCGCCTGCACACACATCACGCTTCTTCTCGTCAACACTCAGCAGAACTCACACAGCACGAGGCTCAGAGAAGACATCGGCATGTATGTGCATCATGAGGTCTCCTCCTGCCGTGTACTCCATGACAAAACACACATGTTCTGGCGTCTGGAAACATGCAAACAAGTTGACCAGGAAGGGGTGGTGGGAGCCGTTGACGGTCTCAAAGATCCGCTTCTCACACATCAGGCTGCAGACAGAGGAGGCGGGAGGTGCGTATGAGACAATCATAAATGCACAAGGTGCAGTGATGAGGTGGCGGAGCTCAGGTCTCTGAGTGCTGAGCTGTAAAACATAACTACCTTTCCACTTCATCCCGTGCCACGATGTCTCCCTTCTTCAGGGCTTTGATGGCGTAGAGCTTGCCGGTCCTTTTGTACTCGGACAGCAACACCTGAAAAACCACGCCAGCTTCGTTTACAACCCCAAATCAGAAAAGGTTGGGGCGGTATGTAAAATCAAAATGAAAACTGAAAACCATCTGTGTCCTGTGTTACATTGAAAACAACAGTTTTCTTTCACTTCAGTCCTGATGCTGCAACACGTTTAAAGATTTAATGAACCTAGAGACAGTGTCATTCCTCTGTGAACAGGCAGTACCTTCCCAAAGTGGCCCCGGCCCAGAACTGCTATCAGCTTCAAGTCCTGCAGACACAGAGGGCCTCTGCTGGGGCTGCAATGAGACCATACACAGCAACACCCATTACAGTAACACAACATGATGTCGTACAAAAAGCTAATAGCACACTGTCAGTTCTAATTTTTCATGTCTTTACTGAACAGTCAGAGCGCTGGTGGAAAAACTAAGTGAACCCTTGTATTTAACAACCGGTCGAAGCTCCTTTGGCAGCATTAACCACCAACCAGCGCCTCCTGTAGCTGTGGATCAGACCTGCACAACGTTCAGGAGGAACTCTGGGCCGTTCTTCGTCACAGAGCTGCTTCAGCTCATACAGATTCCCAGGACGTCTGGGGTGAACGGCACTGAGCTCAGCACACAGCACCTCTCCTGGGCCGAGCCGTCTTGTTTTACAGCCATTTGACGTCACTGTTCTGCTGCATCGCCCATCACATCACTGGTGTGGTGACCGTATTGTGTGTGGGGGTGTCTTCGTGGTGTCCAGCCGTGCTGGCCATATTGTAAGAAGATATGTGTGTATTTCTGCACCTGTGGAAAGAGTTGCTGGCCAGTGACCTGGGGGGCTTCTCGGGAACAGCGACATCCGGTGTGGAAGCGGGTTCAGTGACCTGTTCCTGTGAAACACCACAGAGATGAAGGGGAGGAGTAAGGGAGGGAAGAGTGAGAACACCAGTAAAACAAAGACATCTACACTCAGTAGCCAGTTTATTAGGAACCCCTGTGTCAGACTGACCCAACAGCACTACAGTGAAGCCTCCTTCATCAAGGTGCTGCTCACTTTGTGTTCAGTCTGTTTGGATCACCTGCATGGTCACTGTGGGGGCGTGTGTTACCCTGAGACCTGGTTCTGGTGTTTAGCACAGCCTCATCAATATAAATGGGGTGGACAAAATAACAGAAACAGAAGGGCCTTGGTCCAGGAGCTGACCAACGATCCAATGACCACGCTCACAGAGCCTCAGACGTCCTCTGCTGAGATCAACTGTTAAACTGACAGGTGTTTCTGTTATTGTGTCCACCACATTTCTGTCTTTTACATGATGTCTCTGCCTTCTAAGATTCAAACCTGCTTTACTAGCGTGACCATAATTAAGCACTGCATTACCAAAGCATGTGGCACAAGGTTCACAGTGGATGTAATGACGAGTCATTAAAATTAGAACGTATATGATGATGTTTAGCTTCAGTTTTTATTTTAGTTATTATAAAATGACTGCCTAATATTAGTTTCAAATTACTGTAGGTTACTTGTGGAGTTCCTCAAGGTCCAGTGCTTGGCTCACTACTGTGTGGAGGTATATAAGATTATAGGGGTCATATACATATAAAACAAACACAAATTGTTCATTCACTTGGCACAAATCACATACAAGTTCAAAAACAAACTACTACCTGTGTGTAGAAAGAGGAGCTTTATGTGCATGAAGCTTCTGTTTGCCCATTTCTACCTGCAGTACCTTCCTACCTGCCACCTCTCTGACCCTCTGTTCTACGTTATCGTCCTCTGCAGACTGTGTCCTCACACTGACAAACTAATGCCAATTTGGCCTTGATCAAATTAAAGCTCCCCTCCATCCAGTGATGTCTCATTAAAACTGCCTTCCTGAGTTCTCACTTCTCCATTCTCTCCTGTCAGCAGCCTGTGGCTAGGGCGCTGTTCCCGAGCCAGAGGCTGCAGGTAGGAGCTGAGAAAAGCAGCAACATGATAATGTAAAGACGCCCATCTTCCCCCATCTGGGTCACTTCCCCTCTCACTCACCAAGGGAGCGGGCGAGTCCACCACATCTCTCCTGATCTCAGCTTTGGGAGGAGAGTCGCTGTCCAGATTCAGTTTCTCCACTGAGATTTCTCTACAGCGCAAACGCAAAAACAAAGATGTCAGTTTGTGTTGCAAAGACACAAATAAAAGCTCTTGGCATAAACGAAGGAGTGGAAGAAAAATGGACATGAAGTAACGGCGCCTTAACACAAAGTCTCATCCAGTGACCTGCAGCATGTGTGGACTCTCAGACTGACACCAGTGAAACCAAACCTCTCCTGTCCACACACCGGTTTAGCTGCTTGACCTGCTGCACTGTGTTAATAAGAAGCGTCTTCCAGTCAGTAACGTTCTGCAGTACATATACGACCTAACAATACTTGATCAAAACAGCCAAAATAATGATGAATGAACTTTTACTGTGGATTATTATGAAAGCAAACAGCTAACATAAGAAACGTTAGGAGATCATTACTGTGGTGTGGCCTTTAGACTCCAGGACAGACAAACTGACTGGTCATACAGTATGATTTAAAACACCCAAACGTGCGCCGACAGGACAAGCAGATGCACTACACACCCTGTGCTGTGGGTGAATGTGCTGCTTGTGAAACTGGGTGTGTAGGCAGGTGTGTTGTTTCCAGTGGGGATGGCGTTCCTCAGCAGGCGCACCCAGGTAGCGATGTCCACGTTCATCTGACGGGCACGCAGGAAGGCATTACCTGAAACAGCACAGTGGTGTTTAGCTCAATGAATGGAGGGGAAAACAGAGATACAGCAGCTCCTGCTACTACGTCTCATTTCTGTCTGCACAGCTGTGAAAGGTGTCAACAAGGATACAAGGGGTGAAGGTACAGGCCAGTGTACAGGGCGCTGAAAAATACTGAACGAGTCAAGATGTGCACATATACACGTCTACTACAGTAAATACAGCCTGTCTGAATTTCTATCTGACGAGTGAGTCTGGAGGTGAATATACATGCAAACGTCAGCATCTGATGAAGCTCTTGTAGCTTTAATGACGACTCAGCTGTTGCATGACCTGGGTTTGCATCTCCTGTAAATGTTTATAATCCCAGTTCCAGAAAGTACCAGCAGCCATTAACCCTTTTTCTGAAGCAGCACCCTTCAACACAACATGAATGAAAAACGGTTTCCTGTCTTTTTCTTTTTTAACTGTGTCAGTGGTGTAATCTAACTCATAAAGTGTGTCCGGTTTCAGGTCTGTTTGACTGAGGGTGGGGCTTAGCTGGTGCAGGGCAGAGAGGCCACCCGAAGTCCTTCCTCTGCAGAGGTGTGTCTGTATGTATTGTGCTTTGGAAAGTCATCGCCATGAAACAATCAGAAAATACTTCACTGTTTTGTTTTTTCATCACCGCTCCCCCTCTTCATTCACTCTCTAGCTTGTCTGACCATTGCTGCCCTGTCTCTCTCCAAGTGAAGTACATTTAGAACTTTGGGCACGAAGAAGAACGGCTCTCTAGGAGGACTTGGATCCCTTCGTTCCTACCTATGCGCTGCTGAATAAAATCGGCTCGTTCGTGAGCCTAACTGGGTTTGAGGTTTACCCGACTTTGTAGCCTGCCATCCTGTGCTTGTTGGTGTGTGGCAGTGCACGGGGCAGGGCTAGCTTCCCTCCCCTCCATAGCAGAGGAGCTAGAAGCATCCTGGCCACTGCTTCCAGGCTCAGTATGTTCAGTATTGGCACCGAGGTTGATACGGGATTGAAAAAGGTGATATTTTGGCCTGGTTTTCCTTCTTCGCTCGACGTCTTTGAGTCCAGCTCGGGCTACTGCCAATCAAAGCTGATCCTCGTCTTAGCTGTAGGCCACTCCCTCGGTAGGGACACGAGGATAGCAGTCACGGTGCAGGACAGTGAAACACATACAAGACATGCCTGGTTTGTGCCCTTCCTTTTGGGGGGGGCGGGAGGTTCTGTTAAATGAGTGGTAGGGGAAACACTGCCCTGTATGAAGCAAGCTGGCTTGTTCTTACTGTCAGCTGTATGTACACCTGAACACACCGTGCTGTTTAGAGAAGACTTTCTTCTGCCTCTGAAGTCGTCGGCCTCTTTCTATCACCGGGTTGAAGAACGTCACCTGAAACAAGAGACAGTGGCAAAACAACAGGCTGCAACTAACCAAACAGCCCTGCATCTCAATACCGGCTGTAAGAAGCTGTGAAGGATAACACCCATCGGCTTCTACCTCTCACATGCACATGATTTTACGGCTGATGAGTGCATGCCTGTGTTTGTGTGTGTGTGTGTGTGTGTCCTGTACCTCAGCCAGCAGCAGCCCCTGTGGCTCCAGTTCCATCTGAACCCGGTGCCTTTGGTTGTCCAGGAACTCTTCCAGCTTCAGGTACTTCAGGGCGCACAGGGAGCGGTAATCTCTCCAGTACACCGCTATCTCCATCTCCCGTGACTAAACACAAAAGTCAAACCAGGACTAACATGAATAGAACCTGTCTGAAGTTGTGTTTCATTATGACAATCACAGCAACAGGCTCTAGACAGAAGACCCTCTTCAGGGGCTTATTGTGGGATTCTGTATTGAAAATGGTTCAAATAAAAATTCAACAAATAAGAGCTGTGGAATAATTTCCAGGTCAATTGAGGACCAAGACGTGGTCAAAGAGGCGAACTGGAGTGTCTCTATCTCTCCGGTAACCCTTGGGGTCATGCTGAATCGCTCTCTCTGTGACTTACACAAGACAATAACCCTCTGCCAGCCTGCTGCCTCTTACCCTCTCCAGTTCCACAGTGAAGGTCTGATCCCAGGCCTGCTCTCCAACTGCTCTCCAACCAGTCTGACCCACCACTGTGTTCTCCAGCTTCAGCACCGCGCTCACCTCCGCTGGAAAACACACACAGTAAAAACACTGATCACCTTCATTGTGGCTTTAACTGTCATGTTGACCATGAAGTGAGAAGAGGGAGGGAGGAGAAAGGGATTGCTTTTAAAAGTTGTAAACAAATGTGCTTTTTATGGTATTTAATCTTAAGACAATTTGTTTAAATGAAATTAAATCAAACTTCTGTTAAACAGTTTCCAACAACTAGTCCACATTAAAATACACTGTGAACAACAGTGGTATCTTCGAGGCCATTTGTCCAACACAAGAACAGAATCACTTACAGGAGAGCTCGTCGGTCTTGCCTGGGATCCTCAGGCTCATGCTGCTGGTGCTGCGGCTGTAGAGGCCGCTCAGTTTGAAGGTGGAGCGTCCGTCTCCCAGGGAGTGAGAGGGAAGAACCACCGGGGCTCCTCTGCTCCGGCCAGGGATGACCTCCAGCAGGCCCATACAGCCCAGAAGATGGACCTGAAGAGTACCTGAAAGAGAATATAAATCTAATTGATCAGGGTCTAAGACCTTAGACCAGTCTGAGCGCAGCTTGTTTCACATCCACATTGGCAAAAAAGTTTGAATCCTATAACAAAAAAGGAACCAGTTGAGTGTTCATGCTGAACAAGGACGTAGACCCTGATGGTTTTATCTACAGTGTGTAAAGTGTGAAGTCTACAGCTCCTCTGTGTTACTGTGGGTGTGGACCCAGACGGTGCACAGCGGGTGGTGCTGGGCCCTTGGTGCCGCTCCCCTGTGTTTTACAGGCTCCGGCCAAACACCGAGTGGTTTCAGTCCAGGTCTCTGTAAACCAGCACGTCCCCACACTAGGTCGATGACAGTCACAGAAACAGCCGCTGATAACGAAGAGCCACGTTACCTCACGCAGCACAACGCGCTCGCTGAGTGTTCGATAAATTCTGACCGTAGATGTTCTGGTTCCAGGTCGGTTTGGCTTGTAGTTTTATTACAGCCTGATAAATACGACCTGATGAGAGACAGAACTACAACATGGAGCCAGCGTACCACAGACGGCGCTACTGTCTGCTCAGCGTTTTCCCAAAAACATAAAAGCATGACTGAAGTTAACACGACTTTAAAGAAGTAACATCGATGCCCAATAATCAGCTTAACCTGAATGGGATGAGTGATTTTTAAGCACCGTCAAAATCATATTCAAGACATTTTAAAGCCTGATCATTAGTTGAGACCTGAAAAGGCTTTTAAAACCCCGTTAACGCGTCCACAGCTACAGATAGAGACATCTGTGAATGGTTTCCATGTCTACCTGTGAGGGGCGACGGTTTGCTCAGGGTGCTGTACTGGTTGTGGACATAGGGGGTGCTGTGACAGGAGCTGAAAGCGGAGGATGACGCCAGCACCAGCTGCTCCTTGATGAGGCAGACCTTGGGGTGATCCTCAGGGAGCTCCAGCAGCCTCTGCTCCAGAGAGCACCTGAGCAGGTCCAGACGCTGGGACGACTCGCTCAGACCACACTGAGCCTGCAGGGCACAGAGGGACGAACATGATGGTGGGAAAGTTAGACTGTGGCAGCAGCAACACTGACCGTTAGAAGGCAGATACAAGGCCCCAGTAACACTGGTACTAGGTGCAAAGTAAAATGTAGACAGTATGTAAATAGAGTCAGTTTATTAGGGACACCCCAGTTATATGTGTGTGTATTATTTACAGTTTATGGTTCAATTTAAAGGGAAAGGTCAACATTTTGAGAAATCTCATTTTTATGTCTGTGCAGTAAATACAAAGCTACAACCAGCAGGCGATCGGTTTAGCACAAAGACTAGAAACCAGGGAAACTGCTCGTCTGGTTCTGTCCACGAGTAATAGCCTCTAAACATTTACCGGAACATAACTGATGCTACGAATGAACAGTCGACTATGTTTTCTGACCTCAGCCATGGCCTTCTTATCTTGGACTTTTCCTGCGCCCAGCAGTCGCAACATGTTTTTGGCTCCCTCCGCCATGGCGTGCTCCACACGGTAGTGATGCCACAGCTCCTCCACACGCAGCTCCATCCCACACAGGTCCGGCTTACCTGGGCCACAGCATCCGTTTTAGAACAGGACATATGGATAAGAGCAAAATGCAGAGAATATCCAGTTGCTTCAGAATGCACAGGGAGCACCTGACCACAGCGTGGAGCCACAGCAAAAGGTCTGAACACGTCTGTAAATGAAAGCCGTCAGTTTTTGATTTGTGGTCATTGAGTTACTGAGTGTCGACTGGTGGCTAAAGTCAAATCGACAACACAATGAAATGTGCAAAAAGAGAAGGATCTGGATACTTTCTGAAGTTTATAAATTTAAGGTATTCATAACTTTTCTGATGTAATGTTTTTGTTTGGGAGGAGAATTTACTGATTCAAGTACATAAATATTTTACCCCAAATGCCATTTTCATTCTCAATGAAGTGAAGGGTTTACGATGACCACTACCTCTATGTTGACCAGAGTCTTAGCTCTGAAAACACTTAACATCACACAGTACCAGTGTTGGTCACAGACTATTAATGGCATAAGAATGGTAAATCTGATACTTGGAAAGTTGAAAATGGGACATTAAAAAAGCTTTTTGAGTTTTGGGCAAAATATTCCTCCATGAAAACATCCACTGGCTCAAGTATGGCCTCTTAAACCTGAAAGCTTTTGGCCACCTGGGGGCAGCAGAAAACAGCTGTGAACTGATATATTGTTGATAAGCAAACACTTGGCTGGCCACACATACAATAAAAGTCCAGTATTCCTGCTCTTTTAGCTTTGTTTTGGTCTCCACCGGCTCCTGAGGGAAACAGCTGGCTCTTCAGCTGCTAAATGCAACATTCCCCAGCTAGTTACCGGCCTGGTCTGTCTATCGTTTGGCAGTTTGTACAGTGCCTGTTTGGAGCTTTTTCACTGTCAACAGCTGACTGCTGGGACCAGAAATGATGCTCATGAGAGTGATTTGGTCCCTAGTGAACTGGACCGGTAAAGCTGTGGTCCATAAACACAAAAAACCAACTGAAAGAAGCTAAACTACTCCGTAGAGAGACACAAACTCTGTGTGGGCTCATCACTACGATGACTCTTCCTACATACAAGTAGTCCTGTGACCCATGTCAATATAAAAATACTGATTATAGCACATTTAGAGCAACGCGTGAGGGAGAGAGAGAGCGCATGTGGATAAAAAGTAAGGCGAATGGAGAGAAAACTCCCACTAGACACAGCTTGCTGTCCTTTCCAGGATCACCGCTGCTTTTGATTTCCCTCCCTGCTCATTCTCTCTTTCATCTGACTCCTTCATTCCCTCCACTTCATTCTGTCGTCATCTCTGACTCAGTCCTTTCAGTCTCACTCGCTTCCTGGCTCCCCACATCCCTCCTGCCTCCTCTCTAGCCTCTGCTAAATGAGCCATGGCTTTTAGTTGTTGGGCAACATCAAGGGGATGCAGGAACATCAATAAGTCTCTAACCTGGGAGAGGCAGAGGGCTGTAATGGACAATGTGTGTGTGTCATATAGGAAGACTGTACGCTGTGAGGTTCTAAAGCAAGAATTGATCCATTACCACCTGCGTCATGAAATATGCAGTGTTTATAAGCTGAAAGAGCGGCAGGTGGGATGAAAGAGAGGATAAAAAGCACAATAGGTACTTTGGTTGTCCTCAGACTGCTCTGTGGCCTGCATGGCCTTTCGAATCTGCATGCGGATGATGTCGATCTTGGTCTTGCTGTCCTGCAGCATCTGCTGAGCCGTCTGGAGAAGCTTCTTGTCCTGCAGAGGGACAGAAAAGCAGCAGGAGATCAGAGCGACATGTGCAGGGCGTGCTGATGTGAATGCAGTAAACCACAGTTACGTCTGGCAGCTCAGTACCTTGGTACCTCCATTGGCATAGATTGGAATCATGTTCTCTGCCCCCTGTTTGACCTTCAGCTCAATGTTGAGCTGTCGCTCCAAAGCTGCGATGCGGTGCTGATTGGCAGATTTTCGATTGAGTGACCCTGAAGACCTGGGGGAATCTGGGTAAGTGGAGAGAGTGGATGGTAAGAGAACAGGCCACTGCTGTAGCGGCTGTTAACACCATCAGTGCTGCCCTCTGGTAGCACATAAAGCTAAAGACCAGGGATTTTACGTTACCTTCTAGTCGTGTACTGCCAATATAGACAGATTTCCTGCCTTTAAAGAAGCCATAGTGTTTAGTTTATACCAACAGACAGCTAACTCATCACTGGAGGCATTTCATCCATTTCTCCAGCCATGTTATCTGCGTTTTGGTGACTCCTTAACTTTGGTCTAGTGAACCAAAGTTCGACAAACATTTTACTCACAAAGAAATTCAGTACCGTTGTACTGTAGTACTTTGAATGATCCCCTGAATTAGCAGCATTATTAGTTCCCAATTTTAATTTGTAGATAAGACTCTGATATACATGTAAACACCTGCAAAGGCGATGACGCTCCCATCAGCCTCAGCTGGACCTTGTGCTTAGTGTTAATTAGAAAGTATTAGCCTGCTAAACATCTCCATGTTCACATGCTGGCACTGCGTTTTAAGTACATAACCTGCAGCCTCATATTCAGTTTTTAAGTTAAATTAAGTCGTAGTGTTTTCCACAAGAATGAACAATTAGCTGCTGGAAAGCTGTTATCTCTGAGTAGTGATGAGATAAAACAATAGAAACCACTGGTATGTTGCTTTGTGATAATAAACTATGAACACATAACCCAGCGTTGGAACATGCATGTAATCATCATTAACTGATCCAAAGAGAAGAACTGCTACTGAAGCGTGTAAACCACTTCTCTATGGGGGACAGTGTACCTTTGTTGTCATCAGGGCCCTTGACCACAATATGTGCGTCCAGCTCCTGCAGTTGAGTGTGAAGGGACTCCAGCTTGCGCTTGGAGCTGCGGAGCTGCGAGTCCACCTGCTGAGCATTCCTCTTGTCGGTGGTGGCCCTGCGCAGGTTCTCTGCGCCCTCCTTGATCTTCAGCTCCTTGCGGATCTCCCTGCGGATCCTCTCACGGTGCTCATCCAGGTGCTGCTGCACACTCGAGTCTGAGAAGTCGGAGTTTTGGTCCAGACCGAGCTGCTGGAGCACCGAGAGCCCGCCTGGATCACTCTGAAGGAGGAGGGAAGAAGGAAGGTGAGATGTTTAAGGACAAGGAGCTGGTGGAACACGGCAGGGAGTCGAATGAGACACTGTTACATGGGCAGACAAAAAGAGCTACACTCCATTTAGCTGCTGTGTATGAGGACGGTTTCAGTTTGAGTTGAAAGAGAAACTGAGTCAAGGCGGCAGCATCTCCATCTGAGAGCTGCTGAGCTGAGGCTACGACAGACAAAGATGGTGACAGTCACCCTGCACAGTACTGACAAGGTGAAGCACTACGGGATGAATGGAGGCCAAACGGCAACTCTGTGAGTTCAGCATGTGAAACCTGCTAAGCTGAGACTGAGAGGCTGCACCTAAGTGCACGAAGAGCTGAGTGCTCACATCAGTTCTCCTACCGATCAACACTAATCAGATTAGAACGGCATTAATACAGAACACAATCAATCAGATTCTGCTTCTAGACTGGTCACAAGGAAACACACAAAAACAGTGCGTATGTCCAAGAATGCAGCACAAAGTCACAAGCTGGTGTTTGTGGATTTTACCCTAAAACAAGAAGGTTTCTTATCAGGAGCAGACTGGTTCAACCTGATGTGTGTTCCCTTATCTAAAGGCTGTGAGAAGAACACCTTCAGCTTCAAGCTGACAACAAACACAGCTCAGAAAAGCTTCTGGCAAAGAGGTGGAGAGGAGACGCAGACAAGACCATGAAATATGTCAAGTCACTAAAAAATAGTATATTACAGAATATTTCTAAGAAATCATAATATACTGCTTGTTTTGACCTGGGTACTTATTTGGCAGTGGCCCCCGACGTGCACAGCAATAAAAACAAAATAAATACAGAAAATACACAGACTGACTGTTCATGAGCGTCATGGCCCGGGGTAAGAAACCGTCCTGGTGCCTGGTTGTCTTGGCGTACAGTGACCTGTAACGCAGGTCGGGAGGGGGTCAGCAGTGATCTTCTCTGACCTCCTTTTGACCTGTGAGGTGTCATGGAGGGCAGGCTGTGAAATTCTACGGTGATAGCGCCCCTTATATCAGTGTTCACTGGGGGGGTACATTTTCTAACTGTATTCTTAATGACTTAATTAGTTAAGAGGTGTATTGTGGTTGATTGACAGGTTTGACTGGCGGCCTGACGCTGTCACTCCACTTCTGGTCGCTAGCGCACAGAACCTGGTTGGTGAAAAAGCAAGATGGCAGTCGCCGTAGTCACAATATACGATAACCCTCAGTGCAACACCTGTAAATATACCTCGTATAGATTATACAGATCGGTACAAGTCTCTAGGTTTAAGGACTATGTTTTTATTTCTATTTATCTCATTTCAATGAACATTCCTTTGTCTGTCTGCGTTGTTTACTGTTTATTTTGTTATACTACACAGCCTTATGCTGGTTCACTGTTTACTTGCCCCTTGCATGGGGATATGTACATGCACACTGAGAGCCGATGTACCAGAGTCAAATTCCTCCTGTGTCCAACACACCTGGCCAATAAAGCTGATTCTGAATATTTTGGCTTCAATGTCGCCTAGTGCAGGGAAGTGGTGACGCCATGTGCACTAGAATTATGGCAGTGGACTCGACACATTACTCAGAGTAACTTACAAAGTGCTTGCACAAAAATCAATTCAAATTGCAGTTTGAGTTTAAAATCCAATTTTCACCCAGACTATACCATTAATCTATGAATTAATTCCTCATCCAAGGATAAAACCTCAGTCTCTAAGCTACGCTGAGTTTGTAAAGCTTGCTGACGTGCAGTCGTTTTCAACACTTTCCATTCCCAGAGAGTCACAGAGATGCAAATGGAAACAGACACATTTGCTGTTGACATCAGATCACACCCACACACACACACACACTCGGACAGTGAGGTCCGACCCCTCCCTGCTGCCACAGTCTAATGACGGGCGCCCAGGCCGCTCCGTGCAGCCAGCCGTCCAGCTTAGCAGATCTGATTACAGCTTCTTAGGTCTGCATGAGCATCCAGCTACATGCAGACTGGGGCTACAGCTCTGCTCCCATTAAAGCCATAATCCATCTGCACAATGATGTGGTACAACAGTCAGGCTCGGCCTGAGCAGACAAACCACATGACACAGGCCAAGTGCTGGCAGGATTTTAACTGCTGCTGTAGTGCAGCGTTGTGTCGTTGCACAACTCTGAAGCAATATGTTTCACAAACTGGAACAAGGTCATGCAGAAGAATACCACTGCAAAGACTTTTTGTCAGGCAGTTTGTGCTTGAAGAAACATTTAGTACTTTTTAAAGAGGTCATCAGATACTGACATCAGTGTCAGGCACTCAGACATGAACATGTACACACACGTACAGTGACAACTGAAAGGAAACGCCCAAGTGATTGAGCGGAAATACAAACTGCAGGAGTCACGGATTAATCTGCTGATCATCGACGTGAAGAGGGCACAGTGTGTTGGACACAATGAGGGGGTCTGGTTTGGAAGGAGGAGGTTTCCTCCCTCCGACAGAGGAGATCGCTGCTCTGGAGACACGGCCCTGCTGGGCACTGGGTGACAGTCTGTCTCTTCATCGTCACCCAGCTGTGGAAATACATCCACGTTATCTTTGCTGTGGCAGGCATGAGAGGTTCACAGTGCAAACAGCAACCACAGCCATTCTGGCAGAAGCAAAAGCGGAGGCAGTAACACACCATGAACGACAGGAAGGGAGAGTTTGTGTCGTGACGCACTGCTGTTCAACACAATACCACTTAATTCCTGGTGTTTTACAACAAAGAGCCTCTGGAGCAAGGTACACGACTGCTCACACAGCAAACCACAACAGCACACAGGGATGAAAATTCACGAGTGATTCGCTGTCAGATGGATGTTTTTACAGGAAGTGAACAAGGAAGCTGGCGGAACAGAAAAGGGCAACAGTAATGGAGGGTAAGAAAAAAGCGGCCATGTTGAGGCCTGCTCTGGTCACAGCTGCCTACCAGAGAATCCGTGTCACTCTGCTCAGCGGGCAGCGAGGAGTCAAGCAGCTGACCCCCTGGCAGCTCCTCCAGTTGGTCCTCACTGGCCATGTTTGGCCTCCCTCTGGCTTCACTTTTGAGCCCCTTCCCTCCCCGCTGTCCTGTCTCACACGCACAATCACACACGCCTGGCACTGACAGCAGCACCAATCAGTCAACACTGAGCGCTATTCCTGCCTCTTCAAAATCCAGGATGTCCTTCCCTTCCCGCCAGGAATCAAAAGCCAGTCTAAATCCAGAGCGAGTGAACGAGACGCAGGAGAGGAAGAGAGAACAGTAGAGACTGAGCCCCACCTCGCTGCTTCCTGTTCTGCTCTTTGCCAGATAGAGACTGAGGCGTCATGCACTTTGTGTACACACACACACACACACACACACTGGGGTGTTTTTGTAAGTGAGACAGCTCACAGTCACTCTGCTTCCTGCTGCTGGGTCCCCAAAGCTCAGACAGGCTGTTGCAATAGAGGGAGGGGTGAACACCGTTCTACCAGCAGATGTTCCCTCATGTGGTGTTTTGATGATGATGGTGGTGGAGACGCTGTCTAACACGTCACTCCAACATCTCCCATAGCTGTTCAACTGGGCTGAGACCTGGTGACTGGGAAGGCCACAGTGTCTGGTTCACACCATGGTCAGCCTCATCAGACCAGTCAGTGAGGACGGGGACGGGGTCATCCTGGAGGAGACCACTCATTTACTCAGGGCTTTCCTTCATGTGTCACTGTCTGCATGTTTTAGTGTGTGTGTGCCTGTGGAAGTACAATATGAATTACAGTACATGAAAACACACTGTCAAGACAAAATGGTGTGCTAAGAAAATAAAGTGCAGTGAGAGAAGAGGTCAAAGGGTCAAATCTTCACCCTCTGAAGCCAGAGCAGACAGACACCCTGCTCCTGGGGACTAAATGAGCTGTACAAAGCACCAAGCTGTACTGTAGGTTAGCCGAATGTTCCTCACTTTAAACACCAAATCTCAAATAACAGAACTCTAAAATATTGTGAAGGGATACTGTGCTGGCCACAATAAATGCTCGACCACGTTCTGTCCTGATTTAACACCATGCCATATGGAGACGGCCCGCATACAGAGAGAAGAGGCGGTACTGTGTGTGACCTGCTGTGTGCAAGTGGCCTGGAAGCTGGGCTGGGCTTTTGGGAGCTTGCACCAAATCTAAATTCACAGGAAAAGCAGGAGAACCAACGGCCACCTGTGAGTGCTGAACGAGCAGAGCTCACACACAGGCAGCATTGACTGGTCACAGCCCCCCGGCCTGTTTCTACAGAGCGCCTCCTCGCCATCTGATGGTTGCTGAGAGACACATGGCCATGGCTTTATCCGACTCAGACTCTGCAGTGCAGGGTCACTGTGGGGCAGATGGCCCTCTCTGGCTCCTTATACTTATCTGTGGTACCACACACACTTCCAGGATACATGCTGACAGACAGAAAAGGCGAGGCACAAACACACAGCTCGTCATTCAAAGCTGCAGCAGTACAGTTCTTCTTATCCACTCACACTGCAGAGGAGGAACAGGAAGTGAAATATCATGAAGCCAATATCAAACACAGGCAGTGGCTCTTGCTTAGCACCATTTTAAGAGATGGACACAGAGTAAATGTTGTGCGCACTAGCTCTGTGAACAGGCAGTAAAACACTTCCTTACCGAGCAGCTGTAATGTGGACCGGTGGCTGCAGAGACCCCTGCCCCCATGCATCCATACTGCCTCCCACCTTTACAAAGAAAGCTGAGCTGGCACCATTATCTGACCACTTTGAGCTATAAACCTGAAGACAAACTGCTGCGATGCCTGCAGTGCCCCCCTGCCCTGCACATTGTGTCTGTGAAACACACGCAGCTACTGAAACTGTGCTGACCACAGTTCTAGGAACTAAGCTCATGTCGGTTTATACACACAGCTCTTAAAGTTACAGGCTCACCCAGTTAGAGTCAATCATTGTGTTACTCACCTGCCAACATGCACCTTTCTCCCTTA